TTTTTCTTCTTTCCTTCTTTTTCTTTCTTTCTTTCTTTCTTTCTTTCTTTCTTTCTTTCTTTCTTTCTTTCCCTTATTTATGAAATTTGTTCACCGAAATATTAAGTTTTGGTCAACAACAACACAGACTGTATTCAAAATGGGGTACCGGTGCTACTTTCGAGGGGCGGTTTGTAAATGAAACTGGAGGCACGTTTTCCACCAAGCATCTACTTGGAGACGAAGCTTATTCCACTCCGCGGCACCAGTCAACCCAGCCAACCCGACATAACGCAGTAATAACACAGCGGCGTGAATATTTCATGAGCTGCCGACTCCCCCACCCAGCCCGGCTATATTGATAGTAAAAATAACTTAATTTCGCGTCGTGCGTTCCGTCAGGGATCGATCACAATGCGATTGGGCTGTCTCCTGGGAACGGTCGGCGGGGCAGAGCGCCACTTATTATCTGTTAGGCCATGTTGATTTGATTATATGGATGACATCCGCGCGCATGAGTTTTTGGCTGTTTTAAAAAAAATCAACCACACTGTAAATCGTAGAAAATAGTTGTAAAATGAGGAAAAATATACCGTGAGTTGCAAAAGAATACTGGAAAACGATATCAATGTCGTAGAATGCCAAAATCAAACGAAAAAGACAAAAATGTAAAGATCACGTCCACCGAGGCTCTGGCCTAGCTCTAGGCATGGGTTGTCCATGGTATTTAGCAACAATACGGAGCCGGTGGTAACTCTGGAGAACGGCACCCAAGCTACCGAAGCTCCACGACTCAAGAACTAAGTACATACGTACAGTGCCGATTCATAAATTCCGCAAAAAGCCAGCGTGTGCTGTATACGTCACTACGTTCTGCCACATTCACAATACCAGCTTTGCCTTTGTATTCCTGTGGTTTAGTAGCATTTTTATTTTTGGCCAGAATTTTTTATTTTTCATTCGCCCGCGCGCACTAGTTTGTGGGTCTTCAGAGGATGTCATCCATAAAATTAAGTTGATGTGGCCTTATCCGGGCATTCCTGGTGGGGATACAGCAGCGCCGTGCTGGCAATAACAAACCATGTGTGAACCACGCCGCCGCCGCACGCTTACCAAACACTGCTAGGCTGGGCTACAGACGACATCGTGTAGCTGTTCTAGGACTGTACAGAGACTGGTCAACTGGTCTATTACGGCCTATAAGCCTGGATGTCCAAGAGTTGTATGCGGATGGGTTAACTGGGTAACCCACGTGCAAGCAGGTGGTTGTCCAGGGCTGTTCAGCAGATCTGACGCTACGTAAGACACCTACAGATCATGTAAACAGTTGGCAAGATTCTGTGTTTGTCCAATGACTGTGTAAGACTGTTCAACTGGCTTTACTCAACGTAACATGGTACAAGCCTGGTAACAGGGAGACTCGGTAGCTACCCAAGGACCTTATGAAGATTGGTCAACTGGTTTTGCAAGAAGTGTCGCATCTCTAAGCCTTCTAAGCAGCATCCTGTGGTTTCCCAAGGAATGTATGGAGACTGTTCAACTGGCTTTAATTTAAACCTGCAAGCCTGGAAAACCAGTAACGACATCCTACAGTACTTGAAGGACTCTGAAGCGTAAAACCGCGTTTTGGTATACAATGCTAGCCTAGAAGGCACGCAAGAACAGCTCTATAACATCGAGTAACCCCTAGTCATTCGGTGCAACCAGGCGTAACAGCTTTAGTTCACTGTTGTGTTGGGGAATTTTTCTGGTACAATGAAGCTGTAAGTACCCTACACAGCGTCAGCCTTCTCTGTAAAGATCAGTGCAAAAGAGCAGCCCTTCGTTGTGCTATACTGGTTGTAGATCACTATAAAAATATAACGTGTTCCAGCCTACAGTAAAAGTATGCAGAGGAGAGTAGTAGTCCGTTTCGCGTTGGCTCTGGCCGTGGTGCTGACTGTAGGGCTGTTCGAAATCTCCATCGTACAGGATACAGAAGACAACAAGGAGACACTGGACATGGCAAGGTAGGTATTCTTTTTGTTATAAGTTATAAGTATAACAATAGGCAAGGCAGCTATGGTAGCGCTGAACCTATGGAACTGTATATACTGTCTTTTCTGTCACGACCAGTGGAAGAGTAACTCAAATGTTCTTTGAGCTCGCCGAGAGAGCACGACGCTATTCCGAGTCACCGTGGTATACTAAGTGTTGTTGTTCTTCTTCTACAAGGTAAAATGTACTTATACGACAGCTGTGGCTTTCATATAAGAGTGCTGAGAGCTCTATTGGACATACACATGTAGATGTAAAAATAGTCTCCAAGTCCTATTATATCTTCAGCTTCTTACTCCGGACTACAAAATTGTAGAAAGCTCTCCTTTTTACAGACAAGTGTTTTGCCCCCGATTACTACCGACAACAAGCCTTCAAAACAAGCCTTCAAAACCAACGTTCGGATCCATCTACTAAAATCATAGCCACCCATGCCCCCACCACCATCAATTGTTCAATTGCTAGAAATGGTCCTTTGCCCTTGCATTGAGCAAACCCGTTAAAAAAAGCTGAACAAACAGTATCTATGGCACATAATAAGGAGGCCCAGCTCTCTATGGATATATGAATGCAGCCCAGAAGACTGTTATCATATGTCATTTAGGGCGTCGTAATACTATAATCGTACAGATAAGGAGTTTATAAGGCGAGATCTGTGAAGAGATAATACAACCGCAATGCCCAGTGAACACGTCAGGAGAATTCACAACACAAAAGGGGCAAACGGCCCACTTGACATGACCCGGTGGGTACTTGGGGGTGTCATTTTGGGCGACATCTTGCCATAATTGTAGCGATAAGAGCTTTCTATCTAGAGAGATCACAATAGAGATACCGTTATAACCGCAATGTTCAGCTATTTTCTTGCTGGTAATTTTTAACAATCACTAAAGCTGATTTCAGTCTATTTTTTTCATAACATTTAAAAATACGTTTACTACACATTTGTAACATATTTACATGATGATGATGATTACATATTTAAATATGGAACATTGTAGACAAGTTCTCTATTTTTGAATTTGAATTAAGGCGAAGCATTTTCATTTTTCTCTTTGGCATAAATAGCATAACAATAACATTAAAACGTATGACTGACATTATTTATCTTTATATCTAGAAAGATAAACTTTTATTCACACCACGAAGATCCTAAAGAGCTATTGCTGCAACAATTTAATAAAAGACAGCTACAGAGCAAACGATGGAGTGGGTACGACCTCCTAGTCGTAACTCAGTCAGGATGTACTTAGTAGTGTGATCCATGGAGCCTTAAGTGCCTTGCTTTACGCTTGTTTTTATTTTATTGGTTTTGTTGAAATGCTTCCAAGGGCAATGACCTGGAGATGCGAGTTCAGTATCGATGGAAGTTGGGAGACCATTACTCACGCCGATAAAGTTTCCTCTGGCACGTTTAGACATAATGGATTTTGTCAATATTTTGCTTAGGTTTTGGTTTAAAATTACGCTGAGAAGACATTAAAAACAATACACTTACACTATAAGATTACGAAACAGGCACGGTATGAAACCAGCCTATTAACATATACCTAGAGCTATCTCTAGCGTTGTATCCAGATTCGTTCTTTATCCAGAACCGTGCTTGGGGCAGATTTTCGTTCTTGGATACGCGGAGACTATCCAGAACTGCGCCTGATCCCAGCCCATTTAGACATAGAACTACAAGTAGATAGGAACATTTTTGGATGCAGTACTACTTCGCTTCTGTACCAGAGCACAGCGAATCAAGCTCTCCATATGTAGGGATGTTTCCATTTTTTTCTATAAAAAAGGATAAGATCTCGACCCAGTTTTAACTACTCTTATTTAGTCTGTAGACTCCTTACATGGTACAGCCCTTGACTTGAAATATGTTTTACTTGACTTGATCTTTCGAGAACATTTGCCATTTCCGCTAAATACCAAAGGTTCAAATTACCGACATGCTTACAGTACTGCACAAATTGGGTAACTAAGCATAGAACGGTATAATAGTTCATCATCATTCATACCCATATCAAACTTAGAACGAACAATTGTCTTTGCTCACATAATTAATGCTTTTAAAGAGGTTGCGATTAATAATGAATGAAAACAAACATGTTCACGTGTATCTGTTGGGTCTACTCTAAGCTTTTAAAAGGGTGATATAATGTCAACCGTGAGAGGTATTTTTATGGGTTGTTACAACAAGAACCGCGTTTGTACTCTGTGACACGAAACCGTAGATTTTGCCCCCTGCAGTCATTGGAGAGACATTACCACATTTTTCTAAATATCACCCATGTTAATTGCCCCCATTACTAAGTTTGTTCCGACATAAAAACATCACTTCTGTCATGAGTCGGTGAGTTTGCTCTTTAGTGTGGTCTTTTTGGAATAGGTTTGATATCAAAATGTTAATGGTTCATATTATAGAAATCGTTATAGGAGCTATAAACAGATTCTCTTGGGAGTTGACACGTTTTGGGCTCATTAACGAGCCTGATGACAGTATTTTTCATGTTGTCTGAGGTGGAAAGGTGGTCCTGTGGTGAGGGTTGTTGACTTAGAATCTAAAAGCTTTGGGTTGGGCTCCTTGGAGGCTTTAATGTTGTGCCTTTTCTAAAGGCTGCCAGTTGTTGAACTTGGTTTCTTTGTTCAATATTCGGCCTATTTCATTAGTTTTTATTTGGTTGGTTGATTGGTTGGTGGGTGGGTGGTTGGTTGGTTGGTTGGTTAAAATGTTAGTTTATTGCAATTGGTTGTTTGGCTAGTTTGCTGGTTATCTGATGTGTTGTATGTCACTTGTTAATTGACATATTGATTGTGGTTGATCTTGGTTATCAGCCTCAAAAACAACTTAGCCACTCGCTTCAAATGTCAACAAATTTCACACACGCTATACAATAAGGGAGCTCACCCTACTAGCATGTTTTCTCACATACACATAATAACTGTAGTTGTATGGAGAATCAGGCCAACTGAGCGCCCAGCACGCGACCATTAGTGCATGTATTAGGGCCATCAGTACCCAGCCTTGCGGAAAATCCCCGACAATCCCCGCTGTAGCTGCTCGCGTGGCGGTGTGGAGCCAAATCCTTGAGCTGCCACATACGTGAGAGGCCAGGTGTTGAGGAGTAGGGTTAGGGTTGGTGTTAGAGTTAGGGTTGGGATCATCTTTCAGGGCTAGGGTTAGACTTACGATTGGGGTTAGGTTACAAATGTAGGTTTAGTCTCCCACATCACGGTATTAGAGTTAGGGTTAGTGTTAGAATTTGGATCATTGTTCAAGGCTAGGGTTAGACTTACGATTGTGGTTAGGTTAGGTTTAGTCTCTCACATCACGACTAAACCCCTCCCACCCCTTGTCTCAGGTATATTGGAAACCCCCATTGAAGTAGTGTTGTAGTCATGTATTCGGCAGGATCATGTATATTGCTTGACAGTTCACGCTGGTGTGTTTGTTCCTCACAATAAGGTGCCTTCATTCATAATTTACCGTCCTGCAGAATTTGTGCCGTCAAAGCATGCGGTGTGGTAAAGCAGGATAATCCGCAAGGTAAGCCCCCACACCCTGGGTATTAGCCGTACAATATGTCGGTATATAGTAGAGTGGATTCCTGCCTCAAGCTACCGACATCTCGCACACGCAGTCGTCCCTCAGTACGGCATCTGGAGCCGCAATGTTCCCGTTTAGAACTTTTATTCAGCCTTCAGCCACAATCGGTTTCTTCTTGTGTACAGAGGCTAAATGACACAAGTTCATGATGTACAATATGACAGTGTTTTGGGAAATATGTTGGGTTGGTTCAACGGCTGTGTGGCTGTGCTTATGCTAACTGTAATGTTATTTCTGATAGAAACCTTTTCTTGCGTTAACCATCGTCTGTTCAACCTACAAACTCCGGACTGTTACAACAATAACAAAAACCTCCCCCCCCCCCATATATAAACCCCGCCTATGAACCATGAGACTCTGCCTTGACGCTATAGTATAATTCAAAAGACAACAAAACACAAAATTCTCATTGTCTATGTTAAAACTTTGCAATTGCCTAAGGATACGTCGATGGAGGTTAGACATCCAGGCAATGAGGTAGTGTGTTTGCCTGAACATGGTTCTGGCTAAAGCACGGTTCTGGCTACAAGAGCACCTGTTCGGTGCGTGCTAAGACTCGATCCGGCCGGACAGAGACGGGTGAGGTTATGAATGAGGCCTGACGGCTGACATGTCTGCAATCGAAGGTGCGGCCTGACCCGAAATGCCGCCTGTCACATTCGGTCTTGTCAAACTTTGCGGCTGGCAACGCTTAGGAAAATTAGAGAAATTCACCATGTACTGAAATGCCATTGGCCAGATACGGCACCTTCGTGCGTGGGCTGTCACTGTGTGACAAGAAAGATTATTAACTTTACCAAAAGGATACTCTTTCACTGGTTGTCTTTATGCTGATGTACATTATGTGGTGCCTTCAAATTCATGACATTAGGAAAATGCCCTTGCTTTTTTGACAAGTACACGGACCTGTTAGTCACGGTTTTAACATAGGCGTGCGCCTGGTAATGTAGTATGACTTGTTGTTCGATCATGCTAAAAGCTTAAGGTAAAGCTGTTCTACTACTGGTTGCATCCTGGACAGACGCTATGTACATATCAGAAAAATCCACCAGTTTATTCTGACAAGCACCCGAAATGCCAGCTGTCAGATACGGTTCTGTCATGCCTGTGTCTTGGGGCTCGCCAGGGCATCTGTGTGAAAATTGATTTTCTAAGGGTGCCATCTGCACAGACATAATACGACACACATTTGAGTTCATGTGGACAGTTTGATATGCCATCATCTTGGGCCATTTTCGTCCTGAACGTTGGTCTACAGCTTTCTCCCCTTCTTATGGCAGGCAAACCCGTGGGCAAAGTTATGCGTGTCCAGGAACATAGATTTGCCCCATGGCCCAGACACGGTCCTGGACACGCGTCGAATATCCAGAG